TCGCTCCCATATAACATGGTGGGATTATAATTGCTCGGTACACTGCAAGTTTTGTTTTTGTACTCAAGTCATGATTGTAGGAAACCCCGTCTTTTAATTTCCAGAATGCTCTTGATGCGCTGCTAATCCTGTGCTGAATTTCAGAGTCGATATTGGCCTTTTCCGAAATCAGACTGCCGAGGTAATTAAATTCCGCTACATATTCCAATAGTTCTTCTCCGATTTTTATAGCATGGTTATGATCTTCTGAGGGAGTGCACATGATTTTGGTTTTGTCGATGTTTAGCTTAAGGCCCAAAGCCTCGTATGCCCAGGTATATGTGTTCAACATTTCTTGTAATTGTTGTAACGTGTTTGCAACTAGAGCGCACTGCGCAGTCATCAGAAAAAATTAACATGAACACAAGTAAAGAAAAAAATATAGGTAATTTATATTTCACATCAAACAACATAAACCAACTTAACTGAATTTGAGACAAAAGCCCTAAAATATTGAATTAAAAATGCAAATATCTATTAAAACATAACATAATAAATAATATATTAATAATAATATATAATTAAGCAAGACTAATAAGAAATAGCCATTACTTATTTAGAAGAGTTTGATTTTGACCGTTAGAAAGTATCAAAGAACTTACTCACGTAACAAAAAAATAATTTTTTAATTATTGTTCCAAAACCGGGCCCCGGGGTTTTGTGATGGCCAAAAAGATCTGAACCCTAAGTGGCAGTATTAATTAGAGTTTCCGGAAACGTACTAAAATATGTTCGTTCAATGATTGTGAATTCGTTCAATTAGCAAGCAAGCAAAAGTCAAACCGATAAAAAATTGAGTTTCAAATGAAAATAATATGAAATTATTAAGAGTAAACATGAACACAAGCGAAAACAAAAACGAAAACACATAGGTAGCTTAAACATTACATCAAACAACATCAACCAACCTCGAAACCAGCTTAACTAAATTTGAAAAATAAAATAAAGTTAACATTTCCAAATAAAGATGCAAATGCTTATAAAAACAACACAAAAAATAATACATTTAGCAATATTATACTAAATAATAAAATAACATATTTAAACTTCAATAATTGCTAATGAACATTATAGAAACTTCAAAATAACTTCAGAAGTAAGATCAGTAAGAGATAGTATTACTACTTATTTAGAGGAGTTTGATTTCGACCGCTAGAAAGTATCAAAAGTCTTTCGCACGTAACAAAAAATATTTTTTTAATTATTATTACCGAGTCCCGAAAGAAGCGGAAATTAATAATTTCGAATCCCGGTTCTTTGATGCCTCAAAAGAACCGGGAATTCACCATCTGTCCATTATACGAGGGATAACAAAGTGTTCTTAATCTAGCAAAAGTTTCAAACACAGCAGTTTACAGCAATTTTAGCATTAAAAGCATGTCTTTACTTTTGGTCCTCAGCAATGAAATATTGTTTATTATTTTTCAATCTCACTGTCATTAAAAAATCATATAATTATTGTTTGTAAGCAGTTCCTCTATCAAAGATCGTTTTAAGTCCATCAGACGTTGATCTCTACCATGTTCTATTAAAGCAATGATAGCCGATACAACTCCTGAACTTAAAACATCTCTGCTACCTAACTGTTAACAAACAATAATTAAAGTAATAATATGATTTTTAATAATAGTGAAATTATAAAAGCAATAAACATTATTTCATATGTGTGTTAATAAGGACCAAAAGCAAAGGTTATCTTTATTGCTAAAATCATTATTAATTATTATAGTCTTCTTCAAAAGCCGATATCTCCAACAGAAAAAAGCTATTAAGATGAATCATAAAACACACTACTGAGAAAAGATGCAGGTTCACGATAAAGTAATTTTTAAATTCTTTCCTTTTTCACAAATTTTTTAGCAAGCTGTATATACTTATATCAACTTTAATTCGTAAACTCAACTTTTTATAAACTTTAGCATTTGGCATATTACAGTTGGGGGTTGCAACCTTTGGTATTACACAGCAAAATAAAACACTAAATCACCACAATACACCAAAACACTTTTACTTTTACACTGGATGCGCGTTCCGCTAACCATGTTAGCATCATCAGCAGATGATTATAAACTAACACCAAAACCATCTCGTTATATTAAAAAATTACATCAAAAAGTAATAATAATTAAAAAAATTGCTAATTGATCGCTATCAGTTCATTTCGCTATTAAAAATTAACCAAAGCATGTATTGACATGAATCATAAAACAAAATGCTCAGGGGTCATGGTTCTGACCATAAAATTATATTTTGGGAAAATTTACAGACAAAATTATTGCACAGGGCGTTTTAAAGTTAAGGTAAAAAACAACCCCTGTATAATATGCCAAATCAAAATAAAACACTAAATCATCACAATACACCAAAACACTTTTACTTTTATACTGGACGCGCGTTTCGCTAACCATGTTAGCATCATCAGCAGATGGTTATAAACTAACGATTAGTTAACTAACGATTAGCGTTAGTTTATAATCATCTGCTGATGATGCTAACATGGTTAGCGGAACGCGCATCCAGTGTAAAAGTAAAAGTGTTTTGGTGTATTGTGGTGATTTAGTGTTTTATTTTGATTTGGCATATTATACAGGGGTTGTTTTTTACCTTAACTTTAAAACGCCCTGTGCTATAATTTCGTCTGTAAATTTTCCCAAAATATAATTTTATGGTCAGAACCATGACTCCTGAGCATTTTGTTTTATGATTCATGTCAATACATGCTTTGGTTAATTTTTAAGAGCGAAATGAACTGATAGCGATCAATTAGCAATTTTTTTAATTATTATTACTTTTTGATGTAATTTTTTAATATAACGAGATGGTTTTGGTGACTATTGTCGTCACGCCACATTACACTGTATTTTTAAATTCTTTGCTTTATTAAGCTATTCCACAGGGTATTTCAAACTTTCGCTAAAATAATAAGATTTTGTTTCTCTCGTATAACAGACAGATATGGGAACTCAAATTTTTAATTTAAAAAGAGGCTAAAAAGTAAAGTAAACTAATTTAGCTACAAATTGCTTAGAGATAATCAAAATTGGCCCACTAGAATAGTATAATATACTTATACCATTATACAGATTGCTACAAATTCGAGGTACGAGCATTGGTATCTCGGAAACCGTAATAGATACGAAGATGGTTAAATTCAAAAATGATATTTAAAAAACGATGGGACAAAGTTGCTCCTTAGGATGTTCACCAAGATGACATCAAAAAAGTTTTAAAAATTTCAAGGATTGCTCAGTTTTTTGGAAAAAACGGATTTTTTTGAAAATAAATTTTATTTTTTCCTGTCGTTACTTTTTAGAAAATCAAAAAACTAATAGCACATTCTCATAGCCACTTTATTAGGGCATATGATAGTATTTTTAGATTTTCAAATCAGCTGACAATTTTTGAGATACAGAGGTCAACTTATTTTTTTTAAATACAGATTTGCATTTTTTATTTGAAGTTTTGGAAGAACTCGGTCTCCTTAGTACAATGATATGCCACACTTGATACTTTTTTTTTGTTCTGGGTAACTTAACAATAACAAAACTATTTAATTATTATTTAAAATAATTTTAAGTCCGACACGGGTTTTTTAAATTATTTAATCTGATTATATTCATCGCAACAATATTGATCAGCGCTAATTAACATGGAATAAGGAAGATCGAGCCAATTGAAATATTCAAATAAAAAATATCCAGGTCAGGAACTTAAAGAAATTTTTTTTAACTTTTTTATTGTGAATTTGAAACCTCAGTGTACGATGTAATAATATGCATAATATTAATCGCAGTTATTATAAATAAATCAACTTCTACCAATTAGTTTCTAATGCTCTACCTGTTGGAAAAGGTTACAACCATCCCTAATGAACAATTTTATTTTTCGTTCAATCTTATTTATGGCGCATATCTTCTTCTTGTACTTCCGAATGCATTTTGTACTTTTTATTGTAAATGTTGAAATGTATTGATTTCTCTTTTACAAATGACGTCAAGTAATAGTTATATCGAACTTTTATAACGGATATTTCATTAATTATTGAAAAACTAACCAGCAATTTTGCCAAACCAAACTAACTAAATGCGTTGTTATTTTTCTGCGCTGATAGTTGCAAAATACCGGAGAAACAGCAGCTAGTTTACAATCTACTGGTTAGTATGTAAACTATTTACATACTAACCAGTTGAATTGTAAACTATACAAAATGTGGTTCAAATGAAGATTTTATATCTGTTTACTAAATAGCTCCTTATTTAGATGCTTACCATATAACTTACAAAATCTATTTCGGGTTATAGTAATATGATAAATTTCATTTTGATTTATAATTTTTATTAATAAAACAACTTGTTGAATTTGGTAACCATCAACTTCTCTCTTCCTTACAACCATTCACCTACAAACAATTTAATCTGCAATAGCAAAACTAGTCATCGCTGTAGTATCCCCCGTAACTCTGTATAAGTAGTTTAAAAAAAAACTGCAAAATATCAGATAAGTGTAAATTAACCTAATAAATAATTACCATACCTATACTTTGCCAATAATCATACATTTGCAAGCACAAACAAGGGGTAGAAGAAACGCATTACCTACCACTTACACTGCAAGTAAAAGTACAGAGAGTCTATTTGGTTTCACTTCCTAGGAATATTACTTTTTTGGGTGACTAAAACTAATTATTGTATTAGCCAAAATTACGAATGTTTGTTATATAAGCTAACTGAAATAATTGAGGTTAATGTTAACCAATAATACAAAAGCATGACATTAGCCAATAGTTTGTAAACTAGCTGCTGGTTACCCACTATTATGCAAGAATTAGCGGATTCCTTCAAAATACGACTCATTTGGTTAGTTTACAAAAATTCAAAAATTATAAAAACTTAGTTTTAAAGTCAATTTTAGAAATAGCATAATACTACATCCTTTACTACTAATTTCCATTTTTTTTTTCAGGGATATGAAGGATCATTATTAAAAGTCACAAGCAAAAATGGAAAAACTGCATCGGTAAGTAAGATTTTTAGTAGAACAAAACTTACTTTTATATGTTTTTATAATTTTAAGCGAAACAATCCATAAGCATTAAAATAATTAATCAAACTAAATAGTAAATAATGTCTATACCTTTGTGGCGGGTTCATTTCTACAAAAAAAAATTCTGTCACTAGAAGGAAATCTTCAAAACAACATACTTATTTTTTGTAAACACCACTGCGTTGATCGAACGAAGACCAATTTGTCAGCTGTATTTTACTAATAAAACAAATTTGTCTAACGGGCAAAAATGCTTAACGTGTCAGGAGGTACTTATTGAGGTACTTAATAATAACTACTTATTATTTTATTAAATAGTATTAATTTACTATTAGTACCAGTTTTTAATATACTTGTGTAGATATTAATTATATCGCAAAGCGAGTTTATGCATGAAAATATTTTACTAACCCGTAAAAGTCTAAAATTATTTACTCTTTTTATTATGATGAATTTTCAGTAAAAAATACTAATAAAACAGTAGTTATTATACACCATGGCTAGAATACACAGAATTAATGTAAGACAATAAGAAAGAGGATTGCAGAAGCCATCAAAAACTACAACGAAAAACTTGTACAAGCTGCAATCGAACAAAGAGAAAACTATAAGAACGCTAAGAAATCCCTCATGATCGGAAAGAAGCAGCTATTTGCATTAACACACAACAACATCAGAATAACAGTCGAAAATAAAATAATAAGCCTGGTAACAAAATTCTACAGCCACCTATATAAAGCTCCTGAAAATATACGTCAAGAAGAAAGACTGCCCCTATTACAAGACATTACCATCTACACTTTATCTAAAGAAGGAAACATTCGACCAATATGTACTATCAGTCATGACCTATGCATGCGAAACCTGGACACTTAAAACGAACATTATAAGGAAACTGCTGGTCGCACAACTCTCAATGGAACAAAATATGCTGGGAATAACCAAGAAAGGCGAATAAGAATAGAGCGGATGCGACAAAAGACCTAGGTAATAGATATCATCCACAGAATCAAATTCCTAAAGGGGCAATGGGCGGGACACCTGGCAAGAAGGACGGACAACAGATGGACAACAAAAATTACAGCATGGTATCCACAAGGAATTAAGAGACCTAGAAGAAGACTAAACCTGAGATCTGACGATGATGTTAAGAAATTAGCAGGGATAACTTGAGCCCGCATAGCCAAAAATAGACAACAATGGGCCCAACTATGATGCCCTAACTAAAAGGGGTTTTAGGTAGCTCCTGTATAAAAACAATTTACAGCATACTACTTTTGGCTTGTGCGTGCACGCGACACGAAACTTCAGCAGGCACATCATAAAAACTGCGCAGTAAGAGCAGGCTATGTCTGACCTTATCTTCATCGAGTCTCTTTGATGGAAATTCATCTTTAAATTATATGGCGAATGACAATTGACATTTTTTTATACGGTATCATATATACCAACTTGACATTTTTTTATACGGTATCTTAATACGGTATAAGACATACGGTATCTCTTACCAATGTTACGGCACCATAGTATTTTCAGAACTTCATACGCTTGATAAGAAATTCTGGTGTTGGCATCTAACGTCTTATTTAAAACCGCCCATCACCACAATTACGTTACGCCCGACTGCCAAATTTTTCGCCTCATAAAAATTCACGCTGCAGGAAAATCTGACATCTCTAGTCGGGGCTCGGTTGAGATGCGGACCCTTCAGCTCCCTTATATGAATAAATTTTATTTTGCTTTTTTTACATGCGATGGCAGGGTCGGATTATGTCTTCAATGGTGCAACGGTCTAGATTTCAAATATACAGGGTCCGGCAATAGTGCGTCGAGAATCTGTAGCTCCTAGAATAAAAAACTTGGGAATTTTGTTTAAGTGCAAATCTTAAGTATGTATGACGATGTATATAGGGTGGCTCAAAAAAAAGTTGAGCTTTAGCGAAAACATTTCACATTAATTTAACATTAGCTTACCTAAATAAAATTTTACTACTACACCATCAATTCGTTTTGAAGTACTGCATTTGGGATCACATATAACAACTAAGAAACAATTGCAAACACTTTAAAATAAAAATGCCTGTTCTGAAGTAATATACCTACCAACTTACGGCATGTGATTGTTATTTATATACGTAGATATCTAAAATTAACAAGACAGTTAGCAAACATATTGCATAAAAATATGAAGTGTTTTCCAATCCGACCCTGTTTGGTTACTTTTTTCTGTATTTTTTTGGGGCTTTCTATATTTAAAGTCGTGTTTTATTTGCTGTGCTGGCGATTGATTTTCTCTCCGCTGGCGATTTTCATTTATATTTAGTCAGTTTGCAATAAGGTTTGTATAGTGAATTGAAAATTTTATATAGAAGAATCCATAAATCGAATAAAAGAAATTCTACTCCGGCTTTCAAAACTCAGAATACCAGAAATACAATAATATTTATTGCATATATTCGAGCACTTTAATTAAAGGGTTGGTGGTTTTACATACCGGGTGCATCTCAAAAGTGGCTCATCCCAATAACTTTTTTATTTTTTTCAGATAAAAAAACAATATTTGGTATATTAGTATATGACATAAATTAGGATCAATTGTTTTTGGTCACTTCCTGTTTCAACGGAAATGACTACAACTTTTGATTTTTAAATGACATCTGAATAGAATGACATATCATATGTCAACTTTTGACATTTTAGCTTTAAAAAGATTGTATTTTAAATTTCAATCTAGTACTAGTGCGATGGCTGTGTCAGAAACACTAATTTTTAATCAAGGAGCCTTGGAAAAATAGATTTGATTGTCTAATGTTTTTCGTGTCTTGTCTTTGTATTTCGTGTCTTGTATTTGGGTATTAAAAGATGCCCAAATAGTATTTTTAATCATATCTCAATATTTTCAAATGGAACGAGGATGGTTCATTACTATATTTGGAAAAAGCATTTTTTTACGAATAATTTGGTACCACACATTTGGTATTTCGAGTCAGATTGTCGTTATGAACCACATGTTACAATTTCAAATAAACCATATGAGAAAAATTCATAAGTTGACATATGATATGTCATTCTACTCAGAGTGTCATTTTATATGGAATAAAGTAAAAAAATCGAGGGTGCCATTTAAAAATCAAAACTTGTAGTCATTTCCGATGAAACAGGAAGTGATAAAAAACAAATGAATACGTCAATCTAATTTATGTCATATACTAACATACCAAATCTCATTTTTTTATCTGAAAAAAAAATTGGCGCCGGGAGACACGTATAGCCGCCCATACTAAAATATGTTAATATCTCGAAAACTGCGACTTTGACTGATTTTGATATTATTACAAATTTTGTTAATGAATTATTATTAATTAACAAAATTTGTTATTATTTTGTTACTTAATTTGAAAACCACGTTTCGCTAGCTACTGTAATTTTGGAGTTACGATTTTTTAAAATTTTTAACCCCCTCCCATACCCCCTTACCAACCCCCCACCCCCACTAAAAACTAATGGCCAGATTCTCGGGTGCCACAGTATTTTTGTGCCAAATTTGGTTAAAATCGGTTCAGCGGTTTTGGAGTTATCGTGTTACACACGGCAGACGGACAGACAAACAGACAGACACCATGAAAATATTTTGTATTTAGGTCATTTATGACCCAAATAACTAATTTTGAGTGATATTAAAAAAACTTTTTTTTGCCGAAGTAGAGGTAGAAGGGGGTTTCACCATCAGTGGAGCAGTGGAGCAAGGAGCCGGAAGTGACGTCATCAGCTAGGAACAGTTAAAATAGGCTAATAAACAAGAATAAACAGGTTTGAACCGCTTTAGTAGAGGTAGAAGGGGGTTTCACCATCAGTGGAGCAGTGGAGCAAGGAGCCGGAAGTGACGTCATCAGCTAGGAACAGTTAAAATAGGCTAATAAACAAGAATAAACAGGTTTAAACAAGAAACAACAGCTTTTCAACTGCTTTGAACGGCTTTTTACCTTAAAACAACAGACCTGATCATTTTTTGTTCAAACCCGTTTATTTCGGTTTTAAAGCGATTCAAAGCGGTTCAAACCTGTTTATTCTTGTTTATTAGCCTATTTTAACTGTTCCTAGCTGATGACGTCACTTCCGGCTCCTTGCTCCACTGCTCCACTGATGGTGAAACCCCCTTCTACCTCTACTCGCTTTGAATCGCTTTAAAACCGAAATAAACGGGTTTGAACAAAAAATGATCAGGTCTGTTGTTTTAAGGTAAAAAGCCGTTCAAAGCAGTTGAAAAGCTGTTGTTTCTTGTTTAAACCTGTTTATTCTTGTTTATTAGCCTATTTTAACTGTTCCTAGCTGATGACGTCACTTCCGGCTCCTTGCTCCACTGCTCCACTGATGGTGAAACCCCCTTCTACCTCTACTTGCCGATCCTAATAATAGCCTACCATACCTATTGGTATGGTCTAATAAAAGGGTTATAGGGGGTGAGCCACTTTTGAGACGCACCCGGTATACTTTCATATATTACATGAGATCTCACAATTTTTTGTAATGGAAAAAATGCGTTGTGAGATTTTTTTTTATGATATTATATTATAATCATGCAGGGCTAAAGAATCATTTCATAGCAGTATTTCAAAACTAGTAAATATTATTCGCGTAATCTACCTAAATACATTAGTAGAACGTAGCAACGTTACGTTAGACTGAATACTGGGGCACGAGCAACGAAAAGGCAGATTAACTGATTAAACAGGGCTGATCAATGTCATTCATCAGTCCAAAACCCTTGTACTATGCTACATTTGCTGTCCTCCATTCACGCAGTCAAGCAGCTCTGAACTGTTCAAGAATACGATACTCTCACTCCATTCAATTGAGTCATAAAGTTCAGAACTTTTCCGCGCCATATGAAGGCACCAGGCTATCGCGCACAGCTCCTTTCAGAACCGTTCTGAGTAGCCCAGGGCATAAAGCCCTGGAACTTGAAACTCGCGAATGGAGGACAGCAATAATTGCATTCATTCAAATGGTCACAGATTAGTGGGTGGCCAATAAATAGACGAATTGTGGAAAAATTCACCAAGACAGAGGAAGGCGAAACTGTTCCTGTTAACTGTTCTGTAACTGTAACAGTCACCAAAATTATCGGTATCAGTCTCTAAGTTATTAGGCTTTGTGATTTGTTCGATGCCCTACACGATTTATTGGTCATTCGTCCTATATTTAACAACTTGCTAATAATATAATCTGTCTATTCTGCTATATATCTCGTTAGCAATGCATTATTTATAATATTTATTTGTTTCAGCCTGTAGGATTCGTCACATTCAACACACGTGCCGGAGCGGAAGCAGCAAAACAAGATTTACAGGTGAGACTTTGTATTATTAGTTTTTTTTTTAATTTTTTTACAGTTTTAAATTATTGAGAAACATAAAAAGTCCGCAAACGTTTCGTGTATATTTCCATTACGTTTCAGCTTGAAAAAATGCAAACGAAATGTGTAAATTTAGTACGAAAAACTAGGATTACATAGTATCAAAATGTTTTTCTTGTATTATATATAACTTAGAAGCCCTCTAAGCTCGTTCTAGTGTACTAAATATTGGAAGCCTTTATTAGTTGGTGTGGTAATATACATTATGGCGTTAGTTTTACTGATTTTTAAATAGGTTTACACTCTATGTTAAAAATAACATTTACTGACAATAACTACAGTATAAGGGTAGTTTACTATATTCCTTGGATTTTAATATATGATAAAAGGAATTATCGGCTTTTGTAATCGTTTTATCACTTATATATTACAATATCATATCTTCCCAATATAAACTGATGTTTATATTTTTAGCTTGAGACAGATTACAAGAAGTTTCTTATAAGTTTAATTGAGATACAATTCAAGTAAATATGTATATTATGAACAAATTTATTATACTGTGCAATAACAAAAATAATTTTTGTAAACCTTAAATAATTATTAAGGTATTAATTATATTAATAATCCTTTAGACAATATTTTTATTATTAATTATCTAAAATAACTCAATCTTCTTTTTACCACTTAATGCCAAATAAAATAGGAAAAATGAAAGCTGGTTTTTAAATTAAAAACTTCACTACAGTATTTCACGAAATTGTGTTACGATATCGTTTGAAGCTGGTGAAAAGATTTACTTCTTTTATTGCATAGCGCTTTTAAATTGAACTCTTTGTAAATGAAAATGTTATTGTTTAAAGAAAATCTACTTAGGAAAGTTGAAAAAGGAAACCGCAAATTAATTCTCGAAGTTAATAAATTTTGTTATTTTGTAGTTGTATCGGAAATGGCTCATATTCTAGACATATTTATTATACAATATGATCGAAAAAACGGCGTCAGCGATGGCTATGAAATGAAGATCGCTGTCATTTTAAATGTAAAATTATATGGGGAATGTCATCGAACTTCATTTCCAAGCCAACTGGAAGCCGTTTTTTTTCGATGCACACGGTATTATGTTCTATACATTTGCAGCGCATTAGTAGATTATAAATTTTTCCGCAATGCTTATTTTTTTATAAATCTTTATTGGCTGTGTTTAAGGAAAAGTTTTACTTTAAAGTAATTAGTTAAATATTATACAGGATACTAATATGTTAAAAGATACATCCAGCAAACAAAAATGTTGATAAGTTTATACGGAAACCACCATTTTTGTAATTTTTATCTTATTAACCGTCAAAAATAATGACAATTCTGTATAAGAATGTCTCTATATCTAAATCCAACATTCTTAAACGTCTTAAAAGTGTTAAAGTAATACATTTTCTTAAAGACAGACAATATCTAAAAAAATATCAATATCGAGAGATTTATACAGTGTGGTCCATTTTGCTGTCCTTATAGTATATCTCCCTTTTTTTGAAGATAACATATTTCAGTTTTTGCCAATGTAAGCTATTTTTTCGAGAAACTTAACGATCCCCTTCACTTAACGATCGCAATTGTCATACTCTGCTTTGTTTATGACATACAGGGTGTATTTTAATGTTATATTTCGAGCTCCCCATTGGATCTCGGTTATTTTTTTCTACTTATTATTTGGTAAAATATACAAGGTATCATAAACAGTTATATACAAAAATTTTAGGGTTTTTAAATGTCTATAAGCTAATAGTAAATTTAAGTATACAGGGTCGCCCATAAAGTTGTGGCACATCAAAATTAATTTTTTTAAATGCAACCCCCTATATATAGTTGGATATTTAAATTCTTCCTTCAATTTTAAGCAATATTCTTTATACACATAATGTACCTAAATTCAACCATTTCCGAATTAGGCAGTTTTGATTTTGAAATGTTAAACAAAAAATTTGTAATTTCTAGACCTTTCTTTTTGTAAATGATATACCTCATTTTATACATCTATAAATACTAACATGAGAATTAATGTTAAATATTATTAAGTATTCACAGATTCTGCAGAATGGCATCGCTAAATGAAACCGGACACGTCGAAATTAATTAAATCGAATTGTTTAAGTGATATTTTCAAAAGTCAATACCTCGGAAACGGTTGGTTTGTGATACATTGTGTGTATTTGGATTTTTGCTTGAAATTGAAGATACCTCGTATATTTTATCTAATAATTACCCGTTCCCATAGATACCAGTGACCCTATATTATAGACTGTATTTAGATAATATTTAGTTTCTTAATCAAAATATTATTAACGAAACTTGAAAATATGCCACTAGGATCTCCAAATCTCACCGGCAAAAAAAACCGGCCACTAAAAACTAGTCCCAATTTCAAAGTTGGATTTCTCGCGGACCACTGATTAGATTTTGATGATTTTTTTTTAAATTGTAAGTTAATTCCTTCTTAACGGATGCTACGTCAGCAATTTTTATTCCAAATTTATTTTGAGTATATACAGGGCACAACAATAAGACGAAGTTTTTTGTTCAAACTTTGTAACACCCTGTAGGGTGCAGCAGCTGTAGTAGCTATTGCTAAATCAAATCACATTGTAGCGTCATCTTTTGTGAGCATTTTATTTTTTTAATCACGACATTATCTCTGTTTGTATTGGAGATACGCTGCTTTAAAACAAACGCCTCGAAAAAAGCTTTAAAATCAAATCAAACATCAGAACGTAGACGTAAACTAACTAAAACACATGAAAATAAAAAAAAAGGTAAAGAAATTTAAAGGGACTAATATCTAGTATCCACTCTGGTGAAATTTCCCGTTTCCATATACCGATTCCAGGCATCCTGGACTGTTGTTCGAAATATACCCAGGGTATCGGAGACATAACGTTGACTTCGGCTATCCTCAATTAAAGCCACAATACGAGCAACATTTGTTACAGGTAATGGCATTTTTTAATTTGACAACCGTTTTTCTCATATTCCAAATACTCATAAATCCGTTTTCGCCTATGTCGCCTTGATTATTTACACATAAAACTTTCTGCCTTTTCCGAGATGAATTCTGAATTTTTCCGAGACGTTCGTTTTAAAACAGCATATCTCCAATACAAAAAGAGATAATGTGGTGATTAAAAAAACAAAATGCTCACAAAAGATGAGGCTACAATGTGATTTAATTAAGTAATAGCTATATAGCTATATTTAGCAATAGCTATATACCGCGGCTGCACCCTACAGGGTGTTACAAGTTCGGGCAAAAAACTTCGTCGTCTTATTGTTGTGCCCTGTATATGCTCAAAATAAATTCGGAATAAAAATTTCTGACGTAGCATCCGTTAAAAAGGAATTAATTTACAATTTAATAGAAAAATCATCAAAATCTAATGAGTGGTTCGCGAGAAATCCAACTTTGAAATTGGGTCCAGTTTTTAGTGGCCGGTTTTTTTTGCCGGTGAGTTTATTTACAAATTGTACACGACGTTGAAAATGGTCCATTTTATACAATTTGTTTGAGCTTTGCAAATGCCAATTTTGACATGAGATTTAAAATATTTAAAAAATGGTTAAAGTTAGATATAGAACGTTATACACAAAATGTGTTTAGAATTTCATGAATCAAAAGTCCTAAAATATTCTATAAAGATTCTTAAAACTAAGGCCTGATTGTACAAACTATACTATATAATATATACTACTATATAATAGCTTAAATTCGAGTTCAAGTAAACTCTGAAAAATTCTGCAATTTTATTTAGGTCCTATATATTTTTCTTGTAGTATAGGATTCTAAAGATGATTAAAAGCCTAGTTTAAGGCTGGCTCAATTTCATTCGTAAACTAATTTTTGGAATAAGTTCATCAATAAGAAGTCATTGAACAACGTATTAAAATTTTAAGCTTAGATTAAATCTGAACTCACCTTGAACCGAGTGTGAAGAACCAGGCCTTAATGGACTAGATGTATGAAAAACACAGTATAGTAACGTATTTAATAATAATGATATTTCATTATGGAAATATACTAAACTACCTTTGTGCTTATAAAAAAAATCGATAACATTTTATATACCTAAACTTCGAACCAAAAAAAATCTAGATTTTCTTCGATCTACTTCGATTGAGCTCCAATATTTACCACCAGAACGAGCGGAAAGCATGCACCCGCACCAACGAGTGTCGGCACATATCCCCCCGACCCCCCTATGCCCTGTTCTTAGCCCCCCGCAAACAAATATTATCTTTTACCTGCTTGCCTTTCAGCCTTATTGCGAAAAATCATTCTCGGCGTCCTGCTACGGCGGGAGAGCATCGCCCCCTTGTACCTGCAAGGGCAGATAAGGGTGGAGTGAGTCACATCGATCAATCATGGCGCCGATAGATATTAAAATATTAGCGTGTGTTGGGAAGGTGTAGCGCGTTTTTTTTCGGATAAATATGGAAAGATATTATTCTTTCTAACGAAAACTTTAAATATTTGTATTATTTATACTGTTAGTACTACAGTGTCACCCATAAGTTCTAGTTTTTTTATTTTTTGATAAACAATAAAATGTTTATTTATTTTATGCTCTAAAAACTTTACAAACAAATAATTATACAGGGTTGTTCACCACATACACACTGTGAGAGCTACAATTTAAAAAGAATTTTACCCGATTCAGAGTGCCTTAAATAAATAAAAAATATAATAGTTGTATTTTTTAAATGGAACACCCTGTATATTATTCTATTTTTGGATTCTACAATTAAAATAAATGTAAATTTGATTAAGGTTTATTATACTTAAACCTTACCGTTTATGAAATATTTTCAATTTTGTGAAATTGCAGTAAAAAATTTAAGGCTTTATTTCTCCAAGAGTATGAAAGGTTTTAATACTAAATATTTACTCAAGATTATTTATTGATCAGATATTGTGTAGCAATAATAAAAATTGTACTATTTTATAC